CCAAAATGGTAGGAATATTGAGTCGGCGACTCGGGCCACTCTCACCCATACAGATAAAAGGACGAGCCCTCACGAGCAGGAGTCCATAACTCACTTAGGATTGAGAATGAGTTGTCTGGTCATCCTAAGAAATGGCAATCTATTAGTTAACGGTGTTACAACTAAAGATTGCCTATTTCGCGGTCCGGTCTTATACAAACTCATTCTATAGGATACCCCCACTCGCATGTCTCCACACGAACGACCTGGATCGAGTCGTCTGTAACCTTTACAGAGCGGGCCGTATCCATAGTGTTGCTAGGATAAGGTACCCAGCCTTATCCATATACTATAGACCCTTTAGGTTATTGACGGGACATTATCCATTCATATATCAGGGGTATATCAAATATATACCCCGTATATCAACTATATACCCAGTATATATACTGTCCCGATTACATCACAAATAACCTTGGATGTTTAGTTTATTGGATTTTGGATAATGCAAAGCTATGATTCAACAACAAATTTATTTAATAAAACTTTATTAAATAGACATTTGTTTTTACAAAATACAAACTACGAGTTTAGGGCAACACACCCAACATTATTGTGGTGATAACCACTTGTATGAGAATTGTCCAACTAATCCAGCATCTATTTTCGATGTATGTCAAGGTGCCCAGTGGAACTTCAATCTGTATTTGAACACTTACAACCCTGGATGGAGGCACCATCCAAACTTTTCTTGGAGTAACCAAGGAGTAGCTAGTAGTAGTGCGCAAGCACCCGCTCAACAATACAAACAAAATTACACTCCTCCTGGTTTTTCAACTTATTCGACGTCGCATCCACAACAATACAATCAATAAAGAGGTCAAAGTACTACTCAGCAAGGTGATAGCAACGCAAGTTTGGAGGCCATGATGAAAGAATTCATGACAAGAAGTGAAGCTTCAACGAAAGAGTTTATGATAAGAACTGATGCTGCGATAAGGAACTTGGAGATGCAAGTAGGGTAGATAGCAAATGACCAAAATCTAGACCCCAAGGTACATTGCCTGGACACACAGAACACCCAAAGCGAGATCGTGAGGGAAATAAGCACTGTAAGGCGGTTATCACAAGAAGCAGATTAAGTTATGAAGGACCCTCAATTCCAGCTGAAAGAACTGAGGCAGTTACACCTATTCCTGCATCCACCTCCAGTCCACAACAAGAAGAGAAAGTAGAACTCGTAAGTTCAGAAGAAAAAGGTAAAAAGGCGGATAAAGGTAAGCAAGTAGTGCCTAGCACTACTCCACAGGTAGGTAATATTAAGATTCCTCCACCTTTCCCCCAAAGGCTAGTTAAAAAGAATAAGGATAGTCATTTTAAGAAGTTCTTTGAGATTCTAAAACAGTTGCATATAAATATACCTCTCATAGATGCATTAGAACAAATGGCTAACTACACCAAGTTTTTAAAAGACATCATATCTAGGCATAAGAAGTTAGGTGAGCATGAGACAGTAACCTTAACAAAGTGTAGTAGTGATGCTCTAAGGAATCCATTGCCTGTTAAGTGTAAGGATCCAGGTAGTTTTACTATCCCTTGCTCAGTAGGAAGTAAGAACCTAGGAAGAGCATTGTGTGACTTAGGAGCAAGAATTAATCTTATGTCTCTTTCTGTCTTTAAAGAGTTAAATATAGGAGAAGCTCGTCCCACTACTGTCACTTTACAACTAGCTGATAGGTCCATAAAGAAACCGGAAGGAAAAATAGAAGATCTGCTTGTTAAAGTAGATGAGCTTATTTTTCCCATTGATTTCATAATTTTGGATTGTGAAGCAGATCTTGAGGTGTCGATGATTCTTAAGAGGCTGTTTTTAGCAACTGAAGATATGGTATTCAATGTTAGGAAAGGAGAGATCACTATGAAGGTCAATGATGAACAGGTAACCTTTAATGTCCTCGATGCGATGCTTCTCCCGGATGAAGTCGAGGAGTGCTCTACAATAGGGGCAATATGGAGGAACTCCAGCAAATGATGGTGCAAGACTTAGAAGCAGATTTGGAGGCCGCAGAAAAAGAAGCGGCACAATTTTGCCCCAATTTGAGCGTTTTGAGTTTTTGCAGCCAACTAGAGCGGATTTTAAGACCTTGCAACCTTCCATCATCAAACCTCCAGAATTGGAGAAAAACCCCTTACCTTCTCATTTAAAATATGCTTGTTTGGGTTTAAGCGATACTTTGCCCGTTATCATTTCTTCGTATTTGTCTAATGAACATGAATCTTTGCTTCAGTAGGTTTTATCTAAGTATAAGAGGGCTATTGGACGGACCATAGCGGACATAAGAGGAATTAGCCCTACATTTTGCATGCACAAAATCATCTTGGAGGAAGGAGCCACCAATTCTATCGAGTGCCAAAGGAGGCTTAACCCCAAAATGAAAGAGGTGGTCAAAAAGGAAATCATAAAATGGTTAGATGCTGGAGTGATCTTCCCCATCTCGGATAGCAGCTGGGTTAGCCCGGTTCAATGCGTTCCCAAGAAGGGTCGTATGACGGTGATTACAAACGATGACAACGAGTTGATCCCAACAAGAACGGTAACTAGTTGGAGAGTATGTATGGCTACCGTCGATTAAACAAGGTAACTCGAAAAGATGAAAAGACCATGTTCCATTACCCTTTATTTACCAAATATTTGATCGTCTTGCAGAGAAAGAGTGCTATTGTTTCCTAGATGGGTATTCTGGTTACAACCGGATTACAATAACTCCGGAAGACCAAGAAAAGACCATGTTCACATGTCCCTATAGGACATTTGCATTCCGGAGGACGCCGTTCGGTCTTTGTAATTCTCCCGCTACCTTCCAGAGATGCATGACCGCTATTTTCTCTAACATGATAGAAAGCACGGTAGAGATATTCATGGATGATTTTTCTGTGTTTGGTGAGTCGTTTGATGTTTGTTTAGAGAACTTAGAGAATGTTTTAAAAAGATGTGAAGAGACTAACCTCGTGCTTAATTGGAAGAAGTGCCATTTTATGGTAAGTAAAGGTCTAGTCCTAGGTCGCAGAATTTCAGAAAAAGGAATTGAGGTCGATAGGGCCAAAATAGATATGATTAAACTACCCCCTACCACACTGTAAAAGGTGTTAGAAGTTTCTTAGGACACGTGGGTTTTTATCGTTGTTTTATAAAAGATTGTGCGAAAATTTCTGAACCCTTGTGTCAGTTGTTGGAAGTGGATCGACCCTTTGTTTTTTATGAACATTGTTTGAAAGCTTTTGAGACACTTAAGAATGCACTTAACTCAGCACCTTGTTGGGTGTGTTGCCCTAAACTCGTAGTTTGTATTTTGTAAAAACAAATGTCTATTTAATAAAGTTTTATTCAATAAATTTGTTGTTGAATCATAGCTTTGCATTGTCCAAAAGTATATAAACTAAACATCCAAGGTTATTTTTTATGTAATCGGGACAGTATATATACTGGGTATATAGTTGATATACGGGGTACATAATTGATATACCCCTGATATATGAATGGATAATGTCCCGTGAATAACCTAAAGGGTCTATAGTATATGGATAAGGCTGGGTACCTTATCCTGGCAACACTATGGATACGGCCCGTTCTGTAAAGGTTACAGACGACTCGATCCAGGTCGTTCGTGTGGAGACATGCGAGTAGGGGTATCCTATACAATGAATTTCTATAAGGCCGGACCGCGAAATAGGCAATATTTAGATGTAACACCGTTAACTAATAGATTGTCATTTCTTAGGATGACCAGGTAACTCATTCTCAATACTGAGTGAATTATAGACTCCTGCCCGTGAGGGCTCGTTCTTTGATCTGTATGGGTGAGAGTGGCCCGAGTCGCCGACTCAACATTCCTACCATTTTGGGGACGAGACAGAGTGGGGAGCTGGGAACATAACTTCACAAGATGGAATTCACTCCT